TGTCTAACATCGAAAGAACCTATACGTGTCTTTGTAGAAAATTATTTTAAATACGTAGGTACGCTTTAGACATAATTATTTAACATAATGGTATACTACTTTTGTGCTTTTTTGTGTTTATTTACAGTAGTGAGTGGTATTGAGGTCGAAACTAAGTGTAATTCACGATTTGACTGTGATGAAAAGATGCTTCTAAAACAACTGAGATTTGAAGACAAGATTAGAAAATTTGAAGATAAAATCAAACAAATGAAGAACACTTTGGTATCAGAGCAAGCACAACGAGCAACACAATGAACTCAATGAATATAGGAAAAGAAGTACAGAAGAGGAAATAAGACAACGGAACATTACTATAATGTTACAAGAATCAGTAACGTAAGCAGAAAAAAAAGTGTTGAATGAAACAATGTGGAGGCTAGCGGAAGTGCTAAATAACGAAGTAACGAATGCCGAAAATACATTAAACGAAACAGTGCAGAAGCTTGCCAAAGTGGTTGATAACGATGCAAACAAAATAACTGAAACAATAAACTTAGATAAATCAAAAGTCAAGGAATCATTCGATAACGACATTGATGATTTCCGAAACCGAATGATTGCACAAAACAGGAGCATTGCAGTTCGTACTGAAATGGCCAACAAGTTAGTTAAAGATGCAGAAAAGGAACCTAACTCATCACTGAATCACCAGGAGACCTCGGTTAAACGGGTTAAAGATAGAGTCAACAATGCAGTTACAAATTACAACAGATTTGCCAGTGGTATTGTAGATCATTAGTTTGTGAGAGTTTTGTTTTAAACAAATTGTGGTCTGTATATTGGCAACACATTTTGTTAAAACTTTTTATACTAATGCAAGAAATGAAACAATATTTAGAAAAATAAACAACCCAGAAAGTAAGATATTTTAATGAACATTTAATGTTTTAGATGCCTTATGCAGTATTTCCTTTCTGAAGAGTAATTTTCAGTGAGGAGACAGAGTTTCGATAGGGCGTGGATTTAAACCACAAAATAGGCAATATTTCTTTTCCAATTTTTGTCTTTTTTCTTCTTTTTGTTTAATCAGATCATGATTTTCTTTCTTAATTTATATCTTAAATTCATATTTATAAATATTTGAAGTTTTATGTATAATTTTCACTGTGAAATAAGATAGCATAACCAATTAAAAGGATTATAATTTAAAATCAGCAATTTTCTTTTTATTTTGCACAAATGTTAAGAATAGTTTCTAAATATTCATTATTAAAAATATGTTTATGCCCCGATTACATTTAACAATGTCTCAATAAAAAAAACTTTTCATATACAATATACATTGTTTTAATTGTAGTTATTTAAAGATTATAGTTCTTTATTATCACTTTTCAAGTAAGGAAAATATGAAATAAGTGAAACTTTTCTATAGATGATCAAAACACAATTGTTGTTGTTGTATAAAACCGATACAAAAATGATCTTTCAATTTTTTTAAACAAGGTATATTTGTACCTGTAGTAAACTTTTATAATTTTATTTTAAGTATTTATGCCCAGAATAAAGAAAAGTTTAATAATATAAAGTTTTAAATGCCATTTGAATAAGTGCAAATTATACATCTAATACCTTTAAGCGTTTATTTACCCTCTCATTAAAATACGATATTTTGGAAACTAAAATTCTATATTTCTAAACGATTACTTTATCATGTGACTTATTGTCACATTGAAGGTTCCATGATAACCGCCATACATGTATATATGAACACATCTGCAGATGGTTCAAAATTCAAAATTGTACCAATTCATGTTAAATGTTGAATTCTGCTTAAGCTGGTGCTAGAGGACGTGGACGTAGTTTGCACGTGACAGTACCGTCCATGAACAGGCTCAATCAAACCGAGCCTGCAACATTTTCAATTTCGTCGTATTGGGCTTTCTTTAGGGATTCTTATTTTCTTTATTTTACTGTTCTTTTGTTCTGGATTTTCCTCTATCATGAGGTGTAACTGTCTGCGAAGTTTTAAAATGAAACATTCAATGCTTGTTATTCCCCTGACAAAGATATCTCTAAAATTCTGCAAAAAGAGTTCTATGAAGTTCCAGTTAAGTGTAATGGACGGACATCGGACGGATGGACGGACGGACAACGTCAAACTGTATCACCGCATTTGGCGGATTGTTTGATATTACATAACCAGCTTTCTTGCATCTCAGACAGGATTATCTACAGTTTACACCGGTGCTAGAAAACTCTTTATTACATGCTTTTCGGTGGTTTATAGAAATATATCAGTGATATAAAATTGGTAATTTCACTGTTTGAAACAGTGAAATTACCACTTTGATAATTTCACTGTTTTGAATTTAAGCCCCTTACGTTGTTTCAGTGAAATACCAGCGTGCACAGTACTGGGTACCAACTTAATGACGTGACGTCGTAAATGACGTCACGTTGTATTATTATTTGGCGCGCTTTTCATTCAGTATTAGGTTTAATGTCTTTTTAAAACGTTTCTTTGCATGTAATAAAAAGAAAATTTGCTTAGTTTAGTGTAAGATCGAAATATATTTCACCTTGTGAACACCAAAAGTTTATATTTCACTCGTGGCTGCGCCACTCGTGACATATACCTTTTGGTGCCCACTCGGTGAAATATATTCCGATCTTACACTGAACTAAACAAATATCCTCTATGTCTTACATCCCCCATGTAAGACAAGTCGCGTGCTTTAAATGACGTCATTGACGCGCGCCTTTTATGAATGAATCGCGTTCATAGGATGACGTCATTTTTCCGTTATGAATGAAGTTGTATGTTCATACGCTACTGTTTGAAAAAGGTGCGTAATGAGAATATCAGTTTTCATAATTTCTGCTCCGAAAATATTTGACATGTACTATGCAAGAAAAAGAATCAAACACCGGCTGTTGGTACAGACGGGAATATCTAGCTCTCGGGTAACTGTTTAGCGGAAACTCGGCAGAGCCTCGTTACCGCTGTAAACAGTCACCATCGAGCTAGATATTCCGGTCTGTACCGGCAGCCGATGTAAGATTCTTATAATACACCGTGTATATCTGAATAAACAATGTTTAACCATACGAAATTTAAAGATAAACAAATTTAATTCTGCCAATTTTTTAGATATAAATAACTTTGCTGCCAATATAGTTTTTCTCAGGGTCATGGATATTTAGAGATAAAATTATGGCAGAGATAAAAATAAATTTTCGAATATGAGAATGAAACTGAGATATTCCTACGGAGGGCTGGTGAAAAATAGAAATATAATTCCAAAGTACATTGTTCTAAAATAGGCACATTTTTTCATGTGTATTTGAAATATTGATAACAACAATAATATTAATGTATCATTTGGATATATATTTTTAAATAAATATTGCTTGGAAAAAAATGTGATTTGTGATTAAGTATGAACATTTTAAATGAATTGTATTAAGTATTAAGTAAAAACATTTTGTTCAGGACATTTTTCTACTTGCTGTATAAATACTGGTCGGAGACCATCAACCGGACACTTTTGAAACATTTTTCCGTCCAGATTTCATATTTTTTAACCTAGAGACCAAAAAATTGACACAGTTCAGCTAGGTTCTTCTCCTAACTAATAAACTAGTTTGTTTATTTCTGATTGTATTGACACTTATATATGAGGCTCGACAAGGAGGGTATCAAAATTACCTAAATTGTCTACACTACAGTACCATGTGTCCGGACAGATATGTACATGATGTGATTTAATTCAGATAAAAGCATGGGTGTTTTGATTTTTGATTTGTTACACGATATACAATATATCAGCAACAAATGCTGAAGTTTTGGATATTCTATTGTTTACTCTGCAAATGATTATAGCTGGTATATGAGGTCAGGCATTGATTTCTTGACCCCCGAATTTCAACGTTAACATTCTTGAAATAGACATTAAAATATTACCATTTACGGAGGTTGAAATAAATTCATTTACTTAATTTTAAAGGAAACATGCACTTAATGTTGATAAAAAAGTGACTGACAACCACTGAACAAAGAAAATACTAAATTAAGCATTTTCGGGGCTGTCCGGGTTTGGTGGTTGTCCGGTTTTGGTGGTCCCCAACCAGTATATGTAATATCTGAGCATGAATTTCATACTTGCCAGCAACATCCCAATTATAATAATTTCGTGGTTTGTTGTTATTCCTGATACTTATCACTATAGAAGTAATTATAAATTCTGTAACAAACCTACCATAATCATTACAGACAAGTTCACTTTTCCAAATAATGTCCAAATTAAATCTATAAGTTGTAACACCAAAAGCATTTGGTCAACTAGGAAATGACCTTAATCCTTATTTAGTTCTTAATTTGCTTACTAGATAAGCATAACTAAATATTTACGTTTTATGATATCAAAACTACTCGGGTCTTCCTATCTGAGACAAAATTGCGCATTTCATTTATAAATAATACATCTAAAACTTAACTTGAATGAAAGAAACAATAAATGATCATGAGTGAGTGAGTGAGTGAGTGAGTGAGTGTGTGAGTGGGTGAGTGAGTGAGTGAGTGAGTGAGTGAGTGAGTGAGTGAGTGAGTGAGTGAGGGAGTGAGTGAGTGAGTGAGTGAGTGAGTGAGTGAGTGAGTGAGTGAGTGAGTGAGTGAGTGAGTGAGTGAGTGAGTGAGTGAGTGAGTGAGTGAGTGAGTGAGTGAGTGAGTGAGTGAGTATATGAATGAAGGAAGGTAGAAAGAAAGTAAAGAAAGAAGGAAAAAAAGAAGGAAGGAAGGAAGCCAGGAAGGAAGGAAGTCAGGAAGGAAGGAAGGAAGGAAGGAGCGAACGGAGGGACAAACTAATGATATTTAGTAATAACTATGAACAGCCCATAATATGCGTAGGAAAACAGCTTCTCAAATATAATGATATCTAATCAAAATGTACGTGCAAATCTATGAGAAGAAGAACTGCAATAGATAAGACACATGTATAACTTTAAAGAAAACGCTTTGTAACGACTGAATATTTACTAACATACGGCCACTGGTGTAACACGCGAAATATGTTGTCAAAATATTTCTCCGTCGTGATACTGTGCCTGACCGTCGTCAACGGAAATCTTGTAGAGCCCGGAGAGCCGAAATGTTTATCGAAATTTGACTATGACGAGAAAATGTTAATGAAACAATTAAGACTGGAGGACAAAGTTCAGAAATTCGAGGATTTTATTAATGAAGTAAAGGCAAAGGGGGAAAAGGAAAAAGAGGAGCGCGTTAAATTGCTTGCTGTAGAGTTGGAGAAATTCAAACAAGAGAACGCGGAAGAGATTGCGAGACAGAAAAATGTGACGTCAGTAATGCTCAAAGACTTGGCAAATTCTAAGATCGAGCTAGAAGAAAAGATGAAAGATAAATCAGAACCTAAGAAAGGTCAGTATAACATAAATGTTTAAAGAAATCTTAATAGTGATTTCTTGTTATGTTGTAAGTAATTTAATATTTGCAATGCTAGAATTTCTTTATAGCCTTAAAACTCTAAAATATCATTTTGTAGATGCTTCGCCTTATTTAATGGAGCGATGTCTAGATTTTTTTTTTAATTTATGGAGAAAAATAACATTTTTATAAATAAAATTCATATAAAATATCTCTTATCCTATGAAAGACTGAAATATATAATTTCATTTTATCTGTCATACAGGTAGCAAAATGTAAACAAAGAAATATTTTGACTTCCATACAAAATACTAATTCACTATAATTATACCAATTGCCAACAAAACTGTATACAGCAAATAAGTATACTTTTGAAAACTGTATCAAGATACCAAAAAATAAACAATATTTGAAATTTAAAAATGGTAGCATTTCTAGGGCATAATGGGCCTTTAACTATTAACATTGTCATGTGAATGATAACATATAGCATACTTGATGAACACCGTCCTTTGTTTAAACAATTCAATTCAGTACAATTCTATGAATAAAACATGATCAATATGGAATAAATCGTACACATACTTCCTTTGTTGAAAACTTTAAGAACAATTTTAGATTAATGTTTACTTACCAGACATGAGAAGACTTTCTTGAATTGACTCCGCTATTCGAAAATGCGGGTTTTGATTATCCATTGCCTCGCCGAAGTGCTTAAAGGCCCTTATTTCCATTTTTATTTTTTCAAAAACTTATACCTTGGGAATATGGGTACCACAAAAAAATGAGGCACCGGTATAACTGGTTTGAAGTCAACCACCTTAACCACTCGCCGCCTATTGGATTTTGATGGCAATCAGTTGTTTTTTATAGAAATAATAAATTTAAAAAATAATAGTTTATTCCGGGAAATAAGTCAGAAAATAAGACCGGGAACAAATAACTGTAACTAGAACTTTACAAATAGTTTGTTTATGTTTCAGAGGAGGTCGTGGCATTCACCGTCTCTACACCTGCGAAGGGTACTAGTGCAAACTCCATGACTTTCACGGAGATCATTACAAACGAAGGTAACGGGTTTGATACATCGACAGGCACGTTCACATGCCCAGTTAACGGGCTCTACTACTTTTCCTTACACATCATGAAAAAGAGGTCCTCAAGTACAGACGCTGCCGGATGTTCTATTTATCTGAACGGAACCGGTAAGGTGAGAGCTTTTGTTGATCCACAGGACGGGTCCAATGGTGCGGACAACGGAAGTTACGGGGCTTCGAACTCGGTATACCTCATACTGAAGGTTGGAGATGTGGTGACCATAGAAGGCTGTACAAGTCGGTCGTCAGATGATGTCGAATCACAGACCTCGTTCAGTGGTTATTTAGAAGAACGAATTTGAAAGAAAAAAATTACATTAAAAAAACATAAACTTTTATTACTGTAATCAGTGTAAGCTTTTTTAAAGCAGCACGTCTTCATGATAATTTTGTGGTTATTTTTATTATTAAAAATTGTTTAAGTTGGTGAAATATTGCCAAGCGAATAAATAAAGGGACTTAATCTACTCCAAGACACTAACAATGCGCTGCAATCAACAAAAATATAATGCAAAAATAGTGAGATATAATATTTGCTCCGTTAATAAGGGAGATAAAAAACATTGTTTTAATAACTGGTGTCATAAGTTGTGCCAATCGTGTACCGTACCACATGGATTGCAAAGAATTTTACATTTTCTTTGGTGTTTAAGCCCATCTGCAGAAATACAGATATATTAAGAGATTTAGTGAAATAATGCTCCCAGTAAGACATTTAGTGAAATAATGCTCCCAGTTAGACATTTAGTGAAATAATGCTCCCAGTTAGACATTTAGTGAAATAATGCTCACAGTTAGACATTTAGTGGAATAATGCTCCCAGTTAAACATTTAGTGGTCAAATGCTCCCAGTTACTTACTATACATACATGATGTTGGCTTATTTGAGAAAAAGGTTAATATATAATCTATTTTTGAAAGATGAAGACATCATAGTGGAGGAAGTTGGTGGTGATTACCATGGATTACAGGCATAATTATATTGGATTCTTAGTTATAACATACGGTTTATTCATTATATTTGCAGGTTTACGGAACAGTTTTTCATAAACATTTGGATGAAGGATAAAACAATACTTTAAAAAAATGTATATTATTTTATCAAAATAAAAGTATTCTAATAATGGAATGGTTTCAATGTTTTGGGGCCATCGGCGACGAATTCAAGTTTGAATATAAAAAACCCTCCGTTGCTCACCATTTGACATTTAATAATATTGGTCATTTAGTACTTGTGCTATCTAAATTTCAAACTTTCTCTTAGGGTTGATTATGATTGTGGCGCTGCTAATTTCGCAAAGTCGCTAAGTGTCGCACTTGCTTTTAAATGTCGCCCTACTGCCGCTTTAAATGTCGCAACCACCGCTAAATGTCGCAAAATATTTTGCCGTTAAATGTCGCGATGATGACGTTAAATGTCGAACCATTTTCCCTTACCGTTAAATGTCACAACACTACCGTTAAATGTCGCAATATCTAAATTAATGTTAAATAACTCGTATTATGACAATATTAAAGTGATAAGAGTAATCTGGGGACTAGCAATCTATAAAGAAAATGATTTGCTGTGATGTCGAATTAATTGGTTGAAATTTAAGTCATCTTAGTTGATATTATAAATTGACGACCGCAATTCATGCCAAAGAGCCTGTCAATGATAAAACACATTTATATACGTTTTTCATTTAGCAACCCAGATGTCGGGATTCGAGCTACGACATCAGCTTGATAATGGATCCAACACTCCGAGAAGTTTTTTTCTAGAAATATTCAATGTAAGTTCAGATTTTTTTTAGAATTTGTATCGGCCATTCTCTTACAAGCATATATTCCAGGCTTCACAGCCTTGCAGACTGAACCAGCTCTGTACTTATGGCTGACTTACTTTAAAAACACATTATGCTAAAATAAGCCGCCTTATCAATATCAATAAGGCAATGGCATAAATTTAAAGTCTGCCTTTTATTTAAAAGGCGGGCAACTATTTGTCCCTTTCTCGTATGAGAAGGGAAATCCTGTGACGCGTGTATGTGGTCGCACGGTCACTTTCCTTACAATATGTCCTCGATGCATGTATATGGTCGCATGGTCGAAAATCTCAAACGTTTTCACTGGCGTGTTGGATTTTCATTCTCCTAAATATTAGAGATAAAAAAATATTATAATTGGAATAGAATTTTTACTCTTAAGTAGGAGAAATAAACCTAATAACAACTTTTTTAACTATAAGAATTTTTAAAAGCCTTCTTAAAAGAAATAAAAGCATTATTAGAAGTTTAGAAATATAATATTAATTAGGAGCAACTTCAAAACATTAAATATAGATAAAAACCAAATTTGAACTTCTAAAACCCTAATTTACCTTTTTATGCCAAGACCAAATAAGAATTTTATTTCTGCTAATAAGTTTTTAAAACTTTCAATTCGGACATACAAAGTCCTAAATAGTTTTTAGACATTGAAAAAAGTCCTTAACTTAGGCTTTTAAAACTACTTAACAGAGGTAACAAAGTCCTAATTTCAACAGTCTTTTAAGATGCACCAGACGGTTCTGTACCAAACCTCCTTTGAAAAGGTTGTCATTTTATTAGTGGTTTCTGACCATTCAGTTACATACATGCATCGAGGATATGTAAGGAAAGTGACCGTGCGATAACATTCACACATCACATGATTTCGCCCTTCTCTTACGAGGAAGGGACAAAGAGTTGTTCTCCCTTTTATTACAGGACATACTTTAAAATATGCCATTTTATTATTGTAATTGATCAGAAGGCTAATTTGCGCAGATAAGTCTTGTATTGGTTTATTTAAAACAATAGTAATGCAAACCAAGCAGTGTATCAGCCTTTTAATTACCCAACGTCTATAAAATCAACAGTGAGTGTCAAAACAAATTGCTTACATATGATTTATCTTGTTATAATACGAGTTAATTAACAAAAACGTATATATTGCGACATTTAACGGAAGTGTTTAGAAGGAAAAATATTGCGACATTTAACGGCACAGCTGCGACATATAACCGCATCATAACGACTCTATATACATGATAACGACTCTACATACATGGTGACGACTCTATATAAATTGTGACGACTCTACATATGTGGTAACGACTGAACATACATGGCAACAACTCTACAAACATGGTGACGACTCTACATACCGGTACATGGTAACGACGGTACATACATGGTAACGACTACACATACATGGTGACGACTCTACATACACGGTAACGACTGTACAAACATAATAACGACTGTGAATACATGGCAACGACTATACATACATGTTCACGACTCTACATACATTGTGACGACTGTACATACATAATAACGACTAAACATACATCTTGACGACTCTTCATATATGATAACAACTGTACATACATAATAACGACTATACATACATTGTGACAACTCTACATACATGGCGACGACTGTACATACATGGTAACGAATATACATATATGTTTACGACTGTATATTCATGGTAACGACTATACATACATGTTGACGACTATACATACATGGTGACGACTCTACATACACGGTAACGACTGTACATACATGGTAACGACTGTAAATACATATTAACGACTATACATACATGTTGACGACTCTACATACATGGTGACGACTGTACATACATAATAACGACTAAACATACATCTTGACGACTCTTCATATATAATAACGACTGTACATACATAATAACGATTACACATACATTGTGACAACTCTACATACATGGTGACGACTGTACATACATGGTTACGAATATACATACATGTTTACGACTGTACATTCATGGTAACGACTATACATACATGTTGACGACTGTACATACATGGTGACGACTGTACATACATGGTTACGACTATTCATACATGTTGACGACTGTACATACATGGTAACGACTATACATACATGGTGACGACTGTACATACATGGTAACGACTGTACATACATGGTGACGACTGTACATACATGGTAACGACTATACATACATGTTAACGACTGTACATACATGGTAACGACTATACATACATGTTGACGACTCTACATACATGGTGACGACTGTACATACATGGTTACGACTATTCATACATGTTGACGACTCTATATACATGGTAACGACTATACATACATGTTGACGACTCTACACACATGGTGACAACTGAACATACATGGTGACGACTGTACATACATGATGACGACTGTACATATTTGATGACGACTAAACATACATTGTGACGACTCAACATACATGATGACGACTCTACATACATGGTAAGGACTCTACATACATGGTGACGACTCTACATACATGGTGACGGCTGTGCATATATGGTAACGACTAAACATACATTGTGACAGTTCTACATACATGGTGACGACTCTATATACAGGATAACGACTCTATATACATGGTTACGACTATACATACATGTTGACGACTCTACATACATGATGACGACTGTACATATTTGATGACGACTAAACATACATTGTGACGACTCAACATACATGATGACGACTCTACATACATGGTAAGGACTCTACATACATGGTGACGACTCTACATACATGGTGACGGCTGTGCATATATGGTAACGACTAAACATACATTGTGACAGTTCTACATACATGGTGACGACTCTATATACAGGATAACGACTCTATATACATGGTTACGACTAAACATACATGTTGACGACTCTACATACATGGTGACGACTGTGCATACATGGTAACGACTAAACATACATTGTGACAATTCTACATACATTGTGACGACTCTATATACAGGATAACGACTCTATATACTTGGTAACGACTCTACATACATGATAACGACTTTACATACTTGGTAACGACTCTACATACATGATAACGACTTTACATACTTGGTAACGACTCTACATACATGATGACGACTTTACATACTTGGTAACGACTCTACATACATGGTGACTACTATACATACATTATCACGACTATACATACATTATAACGACTCTACATACATTATCACGACTATACATACATTATAACGACTATACATACATTATAACGACTCTACATACATGCTGATGACTATACATACATGGTAACGAGTAACGACCCGTCATACAATGAGACGAATCTACATTCATTGTGACGACTCTACATACATGGTAACAACTCTACATGCATGGTAACGACTCTTTATACTTTGTAACGATTCTTCATTCATGGTGACGACTCTATATACATAATAAAGACTCTATATACATGATAAAGAGTCTACATATATGGTAACGACTAAACATACATGATAAAATGTCTACATATATGGTAACGACTCTACATTCATGGTGACAACTCTACATACATGGTGACGACTAAACATACATGGTAACGACTCTACATACATAGTAACGACTCTACATACATGGTAACGACTCTTCATACATGCTGACGACTATACATAAAATGATGACGACTCTACATACATGGTAAAGTCTCTATATACTTGGTGACGACTCTACATACTTGGTAACGACTCATCATACATTGTGACGACTCTACATACATTGTGACGGCTCTACATACATTGTGACGACTGTACATACATGGTGACAACTCTACATGCATGGTAACGACTCTTCATACTTGGTAACGACATTTCATTCATAGTGACGACTCTATATACATAATAAAGACTCTATAGACAAGATAAAGTCTCTACATATATGGTCACGACTTTACATACATGGTGACGATTTTACATACATGGTGACGACTCTTCTCACATGATAACGACTCTTCATACATGGTTACGACTGAACATACATGGTTACGACTGTACATACATGGTAACGACTCTATATATGATAATGACTCTACATACATGCTGACGACTTCACATACATGATGTCGACTCTTTATACATGGTAACGGCTTTACATACATTGTAACGACTGTACATACATGGTAACGACTGTACATACATGGTAACGACTCTACATGTATGTTGACGACTCTACATATATTGTAAAGTCTCTATATACTTAGTGACGACTCAACATACATGCTGTTGACTCTACATACATGGTAACGACTCTACTCACATGATGACGACTCTACAAACATGGTAACGACTCTACATACATGGTGACAACTCTACATATATGGTAACGACTCTACATATCAGAAGAAAGTAGCGATATATGTATACAAAGTAGTATTTTGACTTCCATACAAAATATAATTTTATTATAACTATATACGTATTGCCCACAAGTAACTGTTGCAGATGAAAAAAGATGGCTCAGGTAATTGACCAATGAGTAACTTTTTGGATACTATCACAGTACTCCAAAGTGAAAAACTTTTTTAAAAATATTCAAAGCATGTCTGAGGTATAATGGGCCTTTAAATCAAGAATTGGACATTTGTCTCTTTTATTGTCAAGAGAAATGGTGAGGGGACCGGCCTTGAGTCGAACGACAGTAACTTCAATAACACAATTATTCTGTAACAAGCTTCTATTACTTGCTCTGTAAAATAAATATGGTCTAATACAGACCTGTCTTTTTTAAGAAATGTTAAGAAAAAGAAATTGAGTGACCATATTTCCAACACATCTAAAAGAAATTCTTTCACCTACATGTAAAGATGTTTTTCGATTGATGCATATTTGTATATTCTTTTACTTCAACAGAACTATACGTGTTTGGAAAAAATCTTTTAAGAACTTTATAGCTGTAAGAAGAAAATGTCTGAGGGAAGGAGTGTATGCTGTGATCAACCTGATGCGAGTACTGATTCGGACGACGGAAAACCGATTAGAACGGCGGGAACTCAATTTCTCGGTATCTGTCTGATAATTATACGTTGGTTCAACCATCCAAGAACGCAGAGACAGACCTATGAAAATTATTTATTTATGTTAAGTGACAAAATAAATAACAACAAAAAACAAAACTCACACAAAAAACAACAACAACAAAAACACCAAGAAAACCCCATCCCCCACCCTATATAAACAAACAGAAAAAAAAAAAAAAAAAAACCATAACCAACCCCCCCCCGCCGCCAAACAAAACCCCCCCCCCCCCCAAAAAAAAAAAATCCACAAAAAACAACAACACCCACAAAACAACAACAATAACAAGGGAAACTGAACTACTTATCCTACCAGAAAATCAATTTGGCTTTTATAGCGAAATCTGAGAACGGTGTCGAATATATATGATATGTGCCAACGTAATTTATAACTGATTGACGTACAAATAATGATAATAAAGTTGGCCTATCAGGGCATGGTAGAAACAAATTTAAAAAAATTTGATTGAATAAATCATACGAATAATCTGAATGATATATTATCTACTAAAGCATGGATCATCACCGACCTAATAATTTTGATTTGGTGTTGCTCCAAAAGTGCTTGAAACTGGAAGGTATAATAAAATTCTGAAAATTTACGATTGTGTTCAATATGTAAATTTTGAATTAAAAATGAGATTATTGTTCTCTATACAAATATTTAGAAAACCAGCTTTGAAATACTTAAAGTAGGAAATAAATTGATAGAATGGTGTTATTGTTTGTCTGCATTTGAAAGATGCCAGCATTCTTAAGACTTAAGTGCTACCCATTAAGTCTAAATTGTTTTGGTAAAAAAGTTCTCTTATTCATTTTATGCCTTTAAATGTCTGTAAACATGTTTTATATATGCAACAAAATGGGTTAACAAGAAATGTGAATCATTAAGGGACGTAAATCTGCAGGGCATATTAATAATAAACGGCTAAAATAAGGGCAGAGGAGTTGCTCTCCATACATGAACAATAATAATAATTCTATTAAGAATTTTGGTTATTCATGTTTATTATCTATAGATTATGTTCTATAATAAATATATAAAATAATGAATGAAAAAGAATGACTGAGTGAATGAATGAGTGAATAAAATGAATGAATGAATGAATGAATGAATGAATGAATGACTGAATGAATGAATGAATGAAGGAACGAACGAACGAACGAACGAACGAAACGAATGAACGAACGAACGATAGAAAGAACGAACGAACGAACGGACGGACGTGCCAACATTTGGGGTTTATATGCTTTTTTTATCTTTATGTGGCATTTTCCCCCTTAAACCAGTACAATTATCACATAAACCAATAGGCTTATGGGAAGTTCTCCTTTTTTAACTACAATTATGGACGGAATGACGTTCATAGACCCCGGTCACACAGACGGACTGGACGGACTGGTCGGTCGGAAGGAAGGAAGGAATGAAGTAAGAAAACAAATAAATTATCTTGATTACGAGATACAATTCCATCTTCAATAAAAAAAAAAACCTGCCAATATTTGTTTCGAACTATGCAAAACGGATTTAAGACCAATCGAAGTTTTCGAAAATAAAATCATATACAAAGCATCACATTTTAATGTGGCAGGCTTTCTTTCTCCCAGAGAAGAACTTTACATGAAAAAGTTTTATTAGGGACAATCTCTCGTAATGTTAGTCTATAGAAAAATAAAAACGTAAGTCAGACCTGAAAAGTATAACGCTTTTAAATTACATATAATATATATTAAAGATATCAAATTTTCAATATATGTATATAGTATTATTGTTGCTTGAAAAAGGGTATGTTTGCATTTAATTATAAATAAATAGAAAGCAGGCTTGAGAGAACTTCTGTCATAAATTAATTGTGTTGACATCACATTTGAGGGATGAATTTGCCATTATTTGCAGATAATAATACTATCTGATAAAATTTTCTTAATATCAAATTCAAATTCACTTTTTGCATTCCGTAATGACATATTAATTGTCGGGAATTTAGTGTTTCAAGAATCTTTTGGCAAAGTTGCGAAGTGGTTTGTTCTTGTCGGTAATCATAATAAACATGGTTAAAGTGCATACTGTAAAAGTAAAATTCAAAATAACTTTACATATTGCAATAATTATTTCCATTTTTTTTTTTTCATAGTTTACGCAAAAAATAATAAATAACCGACTTAACCCAAGGAAATTTATATAAATAGCCTATATAATTCACCGGTAACGTCCAGTTGGTAAAAAGATTGGGGCAATCTTTTTATATTTTAGATACAGTAAAGTAGCTCTTTTATTTCTTTAACATTTGTAATTATCAATTATTGTTCAATCACTATCTAATAAAATATAAAGCTAATTCAGCTTATTTTTACAATGAAAAAATGAGTATAATTTCACTTTTAATATAAATTAAATAATAAAAAATGGTGAAATGAGACAATAATAATAATAATAATAATAATAATAATAATAATAATGATGATAATAATAATAATAATAATAATAATAATAATAATAATAATAATAATAATAATAATAATAATAATAATAATGATAATAATAATAATAATAATAATAATAATAAATAATAATAATAATAATAATAATAATAATAATAATAATAATAATAATAATAATAATAAATAATAATAATAATAAATAATAATAATAATAAAAATAACACCCCCCCCCCCCCCTTAAAAAACCATCACAAAAACACAACAACCAAAAAGAAAAGAAAAAAAGGAAGCGAATTTAAATAGCTTGACCTTATATTAGGTTGGCTAAGACCAATTGATTTTTCATTGCATTAATAGGCACAATACAAACTGACAAAACTGCTTAACGGATTATAATGTAATGCAAACACTGACCCGTCATGTTTAAACATGTTGTATAAAATCGAATTATAACCTATTGATAGGTATTTAATACCTTAAAACTATGACAAATAAATACACTAAATACTATAACATATACACTGGGGTAAAACATTTTATCCAGGATATACTCTGTCACAGTGAGGCGGAATAAAATACATACTGCTTAACATATGACGATTGTCTTGACTTTTGAAAAATTGGATATTAAATTTCATTGGTAAGATAAATATTAATACGTTACTGAATTTTAATAATTTGCAATAGACACCAATAATTGTAAGCTAAAACGTTTAGATATCCACAGTTTATTAAAATGTTTGCTTTGTAAATGTTCTATTATTGTTTTATAAAGGCATTGGACTAAAGATTTCTGTATTTGGGGAAGGACCCTAGATAATGTTGGTATAACTTTTGATCCTACCCTTTTGTGTGTACATTGTATTTATACTTAAGATAATGATGTTAGATTGTGTTAATTTATCATCAACAAAATATACAATGAAATATTATTAAACTGAAGATTTCTATATGTATAATGCTAGATCTGAAGTGTTCATTATATAATACACTTCTCTACAACAAAAGATGAAATAAGTTTTACGGGAAAAGAATTTTATTGCTTAAGCATATAAATAAATAAACAGCCTTTCAAGTGAAATGCGCTAAACTTTTCGCAAGGTCCTTCATTCTTACTCGGTGAAGACGTGTATTGTAGCGGTTATACATTTGTACACTACGTATAGGTTAGAGTGCATATTGGGTGTTCTTCGTCAATAAGAAAGCTAAAAAGGAGCGGAGCTTGCGAAGCGACTGTAGCTTTCTTATTTACGAAGAACATCCAATATGCACTCTAACCGGCTTTAGTGCTCCGCCCACTTGCGTTTTATTATATAAAACGTCCAGTCTATATAAAATCTGTTCTATTAAGATTTGTAACCTGAAAATTTGAAAAATCCTCGTCGGTGATTGGCTTAAAAAAATTGGCGAGCACTAATGAAATTTAACTGTCCAATAAAAGAGATTAAAGTGCCCACTTAGGTGGTCATTATACTTTATATCGGACTTCTGAAGTCACCCTGTACATTAATAGAGGGATAATGCACCTTGTTTCGTGCATTAACATCTGTAGAAGCACTAGCACGCATTATAAGCCCGAGCACGTGGTCAAGAGAAACGTTTCGTCAGTGCATGTTTTCTTCCCGTTAACGTATACCAGTACATCGATGTGCGCATTTTTATGCAAGAATATTGTGACGCATTCATGTTAGTTATACATGTAATAATCAAATATATATCTTATATTGCTGTTTCATGGAACAACATTATTAAAAAGCTAAGACTATATGCTTTCTGAAACTGGCCGAAGAATTAAAGTAATTAAAGTGACATTATGTTCATTTTTTCACCGTCCTGTTGAGTTGAATTAGTAAGTTTTTAAAAAAAGCTTGTGTTAATGGTTATATACCAATAATTAACAATGAAAGACATTTCTTGATACAATTTAAAAACGACCTATTTATTAAAAAGACTGCCTTACTATCTTTAAATTGGAACGCTACCAATACATTCTAAACCACATTTATAGAAATTTCAGTTGGTCACGTGGATTATTGATTACTTTTTCATAGTTAAATATAAAACTGAACACAATTATGGCAAACTTTCAAGTTATTTTGATTGTTACCTGTTCCCTGACGATTTTCAATTGAATGGAAAGGTTTTTAGACGTGAACTTAAATAGGAAGTACTTTTTTTTCAATAGAGAATGTATTATGGTCTATAGTGGAAACCAGTAACATTTGAATAACGTTAAAAATGTTAAAACATGTTCTTTTTGTTGTATTAAATAAATTACTACATGGTCCAGTGGTTAACGCTTTGGACTAGTAATCTAATCGCTAGCCGCATGGGTTCAAATCTTTGACAAAGCCAAGTCGTTAATTCCTTGAGAAAGAACCTTTAACACTCCATTTGCTCAGTACTGGGGTTGGTTCCAGGAACGTATTTAAAAGTGTGTTTTTAAGTTAATATCTTCCTACTCAATCGAACTAAAATAAATTCTGTAGAAACCAAAATAAACTACGTTGTACTTTAAAAACGAGACTGTAACTACGACTGGGTAATTACTGAAAAATGCACGTGCGTTGCAACTGGTTCCCTGCAAGTATTTCCTGGTATTTCAATGTAAAGAAAATAATGTAAAACCCCATAATACAAACCTTGTGTATATACACATGCAATTCTGTTAAGATATTGACACAATAGAAACCGACAGAAAGTAAAAAAAACTTTTGCGAATCAGTTTTTTTTCTCAATGGTTTTTATTTCCATTTCACTTCACAGATATGCCTCCTTTATTTTTATCTGGCATTTTTAACTTATATATCTTGGTCCTTATGTTTATATTTAGAGTGTTAATAAACTGTGAAATTTATTCATTCATCCAGGGTTCAAAGATGCAGAGCAACGATACTGTCAAGTTCAAGAACTCATTGAGTCGAACAAAGTGGGAGATTTTAGAAATGCTTACGCCTATAGTACAAAACTTCAACCTTCGAATATTTGACTACATGACCCAAGCTATATTTCTGAAAGGCATGACAGGGATCGCGAGTGTAGGAATAATATTTGCTATTCCATATCTGTATAGTAACTATAGTGACAATGTTATTTTGTGCTTACGATTATTTGGATTTTTTATTGTTTTTCAATTAACTGTGAATTGGTTGTGTATAAAATACGTTGATACAAGTTATAAGCCGTCACGTGACGGTATTATTCCGGACGGGATATCAATTGGACAGAAAATATGCCATACTGTCAACAATAACCATAATGACAGCACCATGCGACCTCGAAAAGACGCTACATCACTGAACATGGAAAGTTATGACTCACATGACAGCTTTATGTATGTCGCCACTAAAGTACCCAGAACCCACACGGAGCCACCCGAGCGAACCCAATACCCATATTTCTCGTGGGTCCCGTGTTTACAGTGTAACAGACCCCGCCCACCAAGATGTCACCATTGTCCAATATGTGACAAGTGTGTAATGAAGCGAGACCACCACTGTTATTTTACCGGGGTGTGTATTGGAGGTAGGAATCTCAGACATTTTACCGTATTCGTATTTTGGGCTCTCATGGGCGCTTTATTTGCAAGCGTACACTGTCTGCCATTTTATTACTACGATATTCTTCCATACACCAGTTACTTTGACTTGATTTTCCCAATAGCAATAACTCGTGCAATATTCGGATACATTGATTTTGATATATGCATGTTGCATAGTGCTCGGATGGCTACTGTTACTGTTTTTACTTATTGCCAACACATATCTGAAAATAATAGTTGCCGGTATAAGCACGGGTAAAACTTCCTTTGAAATGGATTTCGACATTTACATTACTGATACGAGGGGCAAAAAAGATAAATTGATGTCAGTGTTTGGACCCCATTGGAAACTTAACTTTTTCTTTCCTCTTCATTTCATATATGAACCAGTGGATGATACTGTTAGGTGGCCAACAATAAAAGCTTGATGTTTATCATCAAACTTCAGGTAGGGTGATCGTTTGACACATGTTTTCTGTAACACTGGGTCGCCGCAAATGGCCTCACTTGAAAGTATTTGTTAATTTTTCGTTACATCTTTCAATATGTGAATAATAACCATGTACCATTTTGTAGACAAATATTTGCCGATTCCATTTTCAATTTTTTTTTAAATGAAGCTATTGCACTTTACTCGACATGCTTGATGAAAGTGTGACCAATGTTACCGCATATTTTCATTAAAATATTACGTATACCACAAAGAAACATGTCTGCAAGCATAGCGGAAAAAGGTATTCAGTAGAAAGTTTGGAATTAGCAAACACTTGCCTTGGACATGGCATTTTTTATTTATTCAAATATTGAAAACTATAACGAAAAATTAGCGAAATAAAAACCTTTCAAGTTTTGTGCGTGGCTATTAGAGGTGACCATAAGTTATTGTTAACTAAAATCAAGTGATCAACCACCCTGACGTAAAGAAGTATTTTGAAGTACAAATGTATATTTTGATATACATTGATCGAATTATAGATAAAATTGTAAAAAAAACTATCAGAACAATTGTTTTAATGTTTATAATGGTATAAATTTTTTTACGGTTTGTCGAATGCTTAATAAATTAGAATATATAAACAACCACCAATTTTGTTTTTTCTATATCTCTTCTCAAAAATCGCAAAGGCATCTAAAAAGTTAACAAAGGGAAGTAATCGAAACTTATATATAATTTTGTACCATACCGTATTAGAGTAATCAATTCTAGGTGAATGCTGATTTTTCTTTTAAATTACTATAAAATGTTAGTAGGCGTCAGTGGTTCGAGTTTTGACAGTGACTTTGGATTCTTGCATGTGAGCTAGCTAGTTTACGGAACGTCTTTGGTTTTACTCAGGTGCCAATTCGTGCCTTAAGTAATGCATAACAGGGTACTTGAGGTTTTCTCCCATAAACAATGTTAGAAAGTCGCCATGCACTGTGTTGTTGCGATGTAAAACCAAATCATAACCAAACAGAAAAAAATCCACAAATCCGTAGACATGAAACTTGAACATATACTTTTACTTACCTTGTACAGTTAACGCACAAAGTAAACTCAGAATTAAGTGCACAAACATGCAAATACTGCTTTTTATTTTTGTTAGGTTTAAGTGATACGGATAAAGTTTTCCCGGTCGATTATGAAAACTCATCTAGCGTTACCGATTGAAAGTTTTTGTCACACAGGATCATCAAGATATTTATATTAGCTAAAGACATCAGATATAGTTACCTACAGGAATTACTGTAGAATTATGTCAACCATAATTAAGAACGTTATTAAGATTTAAGCCGTGGTGAAATTTGCCTAATTGACAGTAATTTAGTTTGTAGAATCAGTCTATCAATTACAAGAGTAGTGACCTAAGTGTTTAAGGTGTTTGCGTTTCAACCTAGACGTCATTGGTTTCAGCCTAACTCGGTTCACACGGGGGAGCAACATCATATGGTTCCTCGAAATGTTCATCTGTTAAAAAAATGTACTTGTTTCCGGTAAAATAATAGTTTAAATAAATAAAAAAAATAATAATACAAAAAAAATACTGTTCAAATTCTTGAAAATGGCGTCCTCACATTGGAACTTAACCAATATATGTTTAACCAAAAACTGACAGATCTTTCTAACCGATACACATTTCGGTGAACCATATGAAGTTGTTCCCCAATGAATGATTACGTGAAAGTCATTATTATTTGTATCATAAACTTCTAGACCAAGAATCCGTTTTAAAAATTAAGACTAGCTCAGGTTGATCCGATGTATAGTAGTATGCCTCAATGAAGAATGCATTGAATGAATCGCTCAAATTATTGTTGTGTCTCATACATTTTCAAGGCATTGAAATTAAACACATTTATCTCCCTTTCACCGCTGTCATTCTCAAAATATCCTGACACCGGAACTGCTTTTACGTCCCTTTAACTGCTGCTTTCTTTAAAATATAAGTCATTCGAGTGCAGACAACAGTCACAGTGCTTTGGAAAGTAAACTAAGAAATAAATGCTCTGCATATATCTTTTATTCCTCATTTGAAAGAAGAGCAAAACAAGACTATATAAATATCAAACATATATACAACGACAATTCAACAAACATAATACAATATTATGCCAACAAACTAGCTAAATAATAACAACACTGTCCTAAATCTTTGAAACTATAAAACAAAATTCTGCCGACAATTTAATACCGTAAATGTCTATTTGCTTTTCCAATCAACAGTTAGATAGATAGGTAGATAGGTAGGTAGGTAGATAGATTAGATAGATTAGATAGATAGGTAGATAGATAGATAGATAGATAGATAGATAGATAGATAGATAGATAGATAGATAGATAGATAGATAGATAGATAGATAGATAGGTAGATAGGTAGGTAGGTAGGTAGGTAGGTAGGTAGGTAGGTAGGTAGGTAGGTAGATAGATAGATAGATAGATAGATAGATAGATAGATAGATAGATAGATAGATAGATAGATAGATAGATAGATAGATAGATAGATAGATAGATAGGTAGATAGGTAGATAGGTAGATAGATAGATAGATAGATTAGATAGGTAGATAGGTAGATAGGTAGATAGATTAGATAGATTAGATAGGTAGGTAGGTAGGTAGGTAGGTAAGTAGGTAGGTAGGTAGATTAGATGGATAGATGGATAGATGGATGGATGGATGGATAGATGGATAGATGGATGGATGGATGGATGGATGGATGGATGGATGGATGGATGGATTGATGGATGGATGGATGGATGGACTGTTTAGTTTATAGATGTAGGGTTATTCGTTATATGTTCAGGTAATGTGAAATGACATTGAATTGATGGACTCCGTCTGATTGGAATTACGTTTACTTTATGTCATCAAAAGTGTTTCTTCGATGCACCTATCGCATTGATAACTTTTCCATCTTGAGAAAAGATCAAAAGCAATTGTAAAGTATGACAACTGTTAATAACACTGCATCTTTACAGTGCTGGAATCGGAATGTTTTTAATAAATTAAATACAGATAGACGAGTACATGTATGCCAGACTGAACATCCTTGCAGACGGAACTGGCTCTACACTTATGGCTAACTAACTTAAGAAATTTCTGTCTTCATATTCCAAGATTGATAGAGGTATACGAAATGGAAATTTGGAAAGTGAATTTCACAAATTCAGCAGGTATGATAACACTTGCAAATATGTACAGTCTAATATCAGTGTCAGAATTTTGCCGGCTGCTCAAGTTTAATTTTTTTTTCTTGTAGCCCATCACAGTTCCTTTTCTATTACAAGTAGGTTAAGTCGAATATAGAAATTAAATGTGTATTTTGGCAAAAATGCTCCCAGTTTAATATTTGAAAACAAGGTGCGAAATATATCTCCAATGTTTAATGCATATAAAACGTTTTTGGCACGTTCTTGTTTTGCAAAATTAAAATAATTCTGTTATATACATAGAATGAAAACTAGAGAAAAAAAACTTCAAACTCAAGATGTTCCAAGAAATTACATATAATCTATTTAAAAATTTAAAATTTCATAGCCAACTTAAAAGTACGAAAATTCATACCCAAATTGGTTTGCGTTATTATTGTTGTATATAAACTTATTCAAGGCTTATCTGAGAGGAAATCCCGTGATGCGTGCACGTGGTCGCACTGTTACTTTCCTAACAATATGTCCTCGATGCATGTATGTGGTCGGATGGTCGAAAATCTCTTATAAAATGACAACATTCTCAAAGGTGTTTTGGTACACAACCGTGTGGTGCAAAATATTAGTTTTCTTTAAAAAAAACTTTTGAAATCGTAATAAGGAGTTTAAAGCCTAATAAGAACTGTTTTTACTCTAAACTAAGAGCTATAAAAGCCTAATTAGGACTTTCATTCAAAAGAAAAAACTTATTACAATGTGTTACTTCTATTTACAACTTAATAGAAATTTTACTCATATATAATTAGGAGAAAAATACACAAGAACAGCTTTGTAAGTCTTAAAAAAGAAGTTTTAAAAGCCTAATTAGGAGAAATAAAAACAATATCAAGGGTTTAGAAATAAAATCTTAATTATGAGGAGATTCAGAAGACTAAATATAAAATATAATCCTAATTTGAATGTTCCTAATAAGTCTTTGCACAAGCAAAAGCCTATTAGTTTTTAATATCAACGCAGTTATAGCGATTTTCCAGCTTTACTGGTTTAGGAGGACCTCTGATGACCCTCTGAACGGGAACTTCAGTAGAACCACCGACGGTCCGTTTGCTGGCTTGATTGCTTCCTCACATGAAATTATTTTAAGTTCCTGGCGGGATTCTAACCCATAGCGGTGAGAGGAGTGTAGATAGACACAAGTCGAGAAATAAAAAGGACGCAAAGCAATATATGTATTTAAAAGATGAGTATTATATAAAACAAACATGTAGTGTACTTGCATTATATATATTATTTATTTTTAAATTTAATTTTAATTGCAAACAAAAGGACATTTAAATTGTATTGGTCTATGATGGAAAGTATACAATACCATAAATATCTATGTTCAAAGTGTAAAGTATCATAACATACCATAAAATAATTATATGTGGTTATATGTGGATGTTGCTATTAAAATGTCTTAGAACAATATGTTAGTAAATCATGCAAATGTCATATTAAAACAAGTAAAACTTGACAAAGTTTTTTTGTTCAAGAAATATGTTGTAAGACTATCCAGCCAATATGTTTCTATTGTTTTTAAAGCAGCACGCCTCCATATTCATGCTAATTTTCATAAAAATTATTTGAAAATCTTTTTAAAAGTATAATACTGTGAAGTTATCAAAAGATGAAATTTACACATTATCAATGACACTTACAACCCATGTAAGTTACCAAAAAGAGGTCAAAAATGCAAAAATATCCCTTTCTGCGTTAGTAACGCAGCAGAAATATAGTGATAAATAATGAAAAGAGGGTCATTAATCGCACATAACATGTAAATTATTACTAGAAATATGATTATTTTTTTTACTTTTCCTACAATGTTAGTGCATTTTTTCTCACGTTTGGTTTTATTGAAATAATTTTGCTCTTCTGGAGGCGTGCAGCTTTATCAATATTTTAAATATCTCTTGAATATGTACCCATTCAGTGAAAAATAATATGTATATTTTTGGTCCCATACCCATTTTAGATCAATCCAAGTGTTTATCATCTTTTATCATGCCAACTTCCATTACATTCACAAAAGGCAATTTGACATTTTATGGTTTTGTTTCGGCAAACAATATCTCTGGTTATTAGACAGTATCAAACTCAAAATACTGGTGAGAACTATTATGACAAACATATTTCAGGTGCAGCTTGCATTATCATAAACTATCAAAACATATTGCTACACTTGTCAATGGCTGTTCTTAAGAGCTTAAGTAAAAAATAGTTACTTCTTCTGCTTCTTTTTCTTCTTTTTTTTCATCATCTTCTACTTCACTTTCTTGTTTTGGCGTTTGATGATACATTGTATTCTTATGGTGACCAGTTCGCATGGTCGGTATTATGTAACTCAAAGTGTTCATGTCAACTATCATGATGTAAGCTTCATCATAGTTTAAATGCATCGCCTAAATTATTACTTTAATTACAACAGCTTTGTGTTGTAGAATGGGAGACAACTCAATCATGTTTACATGTCATTGAGTTATTGCTCGTGGCAGTGGTTTACATTTGTCACTGTCGTACATGGACCTGTTCTATCAAACCGAGGCTGCAATATTTTTATTTTACTTATAAGCCGACTTTTCAGTTGTCATGGTTTTACGTTCTAAAGAATTTTCGAGGTGTATTGTTGTACATCTGTTTGTCTATCTGTCCATCCATTATCCGTTATGTGATTTTCGAACCGATTCAGGAAGTTAAGTGTGCAAACTTGCAAATGTATTATTTGCAATGGAAGATACGAACTTTGTTCTTTTTTTTTTCTTCTTTTTTTCATGTTAGGTTAACCTGCTATTCAAAAGCAGGAACCTCCAGTTAGAAGATTGGATTTAGGGATTTAGAGGCAATTATTTGCAGTCAAAAATGCCAGGCATACACGTTCGCATTTTTTTTTCAAAAGGAACACTTAAGTCTTTTAATGTCTGGAATTTTGGCAACGAACGCCTTCACTGATATCAATGGCAGTATTCTAAGGTCGTTTATTCGTGTTGTTGTTGTTTTTTTTCTGTCTTTTTCTTCTTCTTTCATAAAGGCCTCATTAATGCATATGCTAGGGCTCATGTAATTTCTTTTAGGGCTGATGTAAGCTTTATTTGGTGCGCATTTTATGTCAATCTTAATTCATATTGACTGTTTCTAGCACTTGTTTAAACGTAATTCAGTGCTCATGTAGACTTTATTGTCAAACGTTGCTTTGATACAAACAACTGTAGAATATATATGAACAACAGCTATCACCACTCGTAACATTGAACTGATTAAAGGTACATTATGCCTCAGAAACAAATGAGCCGTGCCACGACAAAACCAACATAGTGGGTTTGCGACCAGCATGGATCCAGACCAGCCTGCGCTGATCAGGATCCATGCTGTTCGCTATCAGTTTCTCTACTTGCAATAGGGTGTGTAAGCGAACAGCATGGATCCTGATCAGACTGCGCGGATACGCAGACTGGTCTGGATCCATGCTGGTCGCAAACGCGGTCGTGACGCGGCTCAAATACATTTTACTTCTTCAGAAAGAGCAAACATACATTTTATAATGTTTAAATAAAAGTTTTAGAGAATGTTCGCTACTTGTTACCTGATAAAAGTAACGCTAAATGCGAAATTATTTTTCATAAAAGTAGCAAAATGTAAACAAAGTAGTATTTGGACTTCCATACATTCAAAATACCAATTCACTATAACTGTACTTATTGCCAGAAAGCAACAGGTGAAAAATATAGTTTAGGTAATTAGCCAATAAGTAACTTTTTGGATACTAAAAAGTACACCAAAATTAAAAAGCTTTTGAGAAACATAAATTAAAGCATTTCTGAGGCATAATGGGCCTTTAAAATACATATCTGAGACCTAGGTTTGAAGTCGGATAATTTAGACATATACTTATGAAAGGAGAACAAAGAATATATCGATGCAACAATTTATTATTGATATGTTTAAATGCAACATTCTGTATTCATTGTAAAATCATAACTAGAATTACAGAAAGTACTTGTACATCATTCTTCGGTCTGTTTTTCCGTTCTGTCTAAGTTTACTGAAATAAAACAAATTGACACTAAGGAAAAGAAGAGAAAAAAATGAATAAATTATATTGATTTGCGATACACGAATTCAGTACATGTAAATATATTAAAACCAACACAAAACAAAACAATCGCCAAGCCCCATGAACCTTTACGTCGCTGTTCATATATAGAACCCGTCATGTGAATTAATTTGGGTTAACTTTATTAACTATAATAGATCTATAATGAATGGTTTAAACAGAAATATTTCACATGCTTAAAACTTGTTTTCATATAATGCATACTATATAGCTAAGTATTAAACCATGGGTATGAAATAACCTTTAAGATAAGAGATACATGTATAAATTAATACGCTTATTAAATATTTCTAGAAATAGAATCACTTCATTCTTAGAATGAGCCACAGTGTATATGTATGTACCAGTGAAATTACAACCTACTGCTTGAATTAAAACACGTCTGTGTTATAAAATATTATTGTACCCACATATTTGTTTTCGAAAATACAAGTTCGAAGATTCGGTACTAATATAATATCCACTCGAACACATACATGTAAATCGTTAAAGAAATGTAAAAGAATGCCAATTATCAATGCAAATCATCGCAAATTTTATAAACAAAACAGGGGTAACATTTATAACGTTTTAAAATTTGAATAAGTACCCAATTTCGAACGGAGTAAGGAATATAATGAGCCGTGTCACGACAAAACCAACATAATGGGTTTACGACCAGCATGGATCCAGACCAGCCTGCGCATCCGCGCAGTCTGATCAGGATCCATGCTGTTCGCTATCACTTTCTCTACTTGTTACAGGGTTTGTAAGCGAACAGCATGGATCCTGATCAGACTGCGCGGATGCGCAGGCTGGTCTGGATCCATGCTGGTCGCAAACCCATTATGACGCGGCTCAATTATGTCTGCATATTTCGACTCGTTATTGGTAATTTCTTTGACAATTGGGAACATTTCTTATAATAAACCGGAAGTGCGATGTTTTTAGTGTTTGCAATTTCAAGGAAATTAATACACAGTGAACAAATGAGTCTACTTCCTGTTTTCGCAAGAAAGGTATGGGTAAAATGTTAGGATCACATGAAAGGTGCGGTGATCGGAAGTAAAAAGTGCGTATAATTGCAAAACAAGTCAATCGTCAAACAGCGGTTCGTCCCGTATATTTCGAATAAGAGACCTTGTAATTTCGTCCGGGTTAAACATGTTAAAAGGCAGTGTTCGTTCGAGAGAAAGTAACAAATGCCATATTCCCCAGTATTAAGTGCGGACAATCCTTTGTTATTTTTTTTCCTATTGACCGGATTCTAATTATAATTAAAAAAAAGTAATAATGACTAAATCTTTGAATTTAAAAATTGACATCATAACCTAAACAAAATGGCGGAATCAAGATTTCTAAAGTAGTTCCAAATTCAAATATGTCGCCTTATATCGTAAGTCTAATGCAGAGCATAAAAGTCAACGAGAACAGACTGTATACATTGCACACATTGAATGTTTTAGGTTCTCAAACTTTGGTACAGTGATTTTGTTTAACTACAGTGAAATTAAATCATGCAATTTGTCACCACTGTGGGAGTTTACGGTAGACGGACATAACTCTTTATAGAAAAGAAGAAAAATAGATGTAGTGTATGTAACAGAAGTACGAACGACCGATGAGGACATTTCATCTTCATGAATTCCAATTATATACCTTCGTGAATTCACAATTTAAACTTCGTGAATTTAAGTAATCAACATTAGGAATTCATAAATTCACGATTTCAACTTCACGAATTTAACATCATGAATTCACGATTTCAACTTCACGGATTCACGATTTCAACTTCACGAATTCACGATGTCAGCTTCAATTATTCATGATTTCAACTTCATGAATTTGAAATAGTCACTTAATGAAGGTGATATCGTGAATTCATGAAGTTGAAATCATGAATTTAAGTTGAAATCGTGTAATTGAAATCGTGACTCGTGAAGTTAAAATTGTGAATTCATGAAACTGAAATCGTGAATTTACGAAGATAAAATGTCTCCACCGTTCTCTCGTACAAAAAGAGCTCGCATCCACTTCGCCGGTAATACCTACATGTTTTTCACATAATACACTTGGAGGAAATAATGTTAAGTGTCGCGTTTTTCATTGAGAAATGCTTTTGCAAATTGATAGTCATTATTGTACTTACTAAAGGTCTTTCACAGATATAACCTATCTTTCTAGCACAGTCACTTGTTAACCAAGTAAATGTTCCGAATAGCTCCAAGTTAACGCAGTCATAGGCAGCATTGTTATATTCAGTGTACCCGTTTTGGAAATTGTTACTATTAATTGCTCCAGAATATGCCCACACGAAAGTGCCCTCGGTGTCCACGTCTGATAAGGCAATCCAAACCGCTGTTAAAATGTAAGCATAAGACTTTAGAAAGAGATCAGACTTAAGGAAGAGGAGATCGGCCTTTCGAAAGAAGAGATCAGAATTAAGGAAGATGAGTTCAGACTTTAGAAAGATGAGATCAGACTTAAGGATTTAGAAAGATGAGATCAGAATTTTGAAAGTTGAGATTAGACTTTAGAAAGAGGAGATCAGAGCTTAGAAAGAGGAGATCAGACTTTAGAAAGAGAAGATCAGACTTTAGAAAGAGGAGAACAGGTCTATTTTCTAAATAAAATAAAAAAAATGGCCGCCATTTTTTTCTCGATTGATTCTTATTTTCCCCCAAGTTCACCACGATAGCGCATCACCAGAGTAACTATGGCACCCTTAAATTTTTGTTCTTTGGACCATAGAATGCTTTTTGCGTATAAATAGCTTTTTGTTTGATAGTTAAAAAGTAAACATCTATTTTCAACGGAAATAATTGCAACATGCAGACGGTTAAAGCATGAAACAAAGGATTATTTAACCATTAAAATCAGTGAAACGTTGCAGATATGGTGGATATACATAGGATACTATTGTTTTTGTTGTTGTTTTTTTGGGGGGTTTTTTTGTTGTTTTTTTTGTAAATGCACTTTGTCAAAAAACATGCGAACAATATTCTGGATACAGAAGGATCAGATTTCTCAGATCATAACCGTATAAATGGGTTTTCTAAATAAAACACAGATTATTGTATGTTTATGACTGGTAGATATCATCACTTGCTTACACTAAACAAGCTCAGGTCTGATGCTCTTGATATATACATATGAACCTGATATCTATGCAACTAAGTAGCTTATTCCCTTTATATATATATGTTTTATATAATGATTTGAGAAGACAATTTGTACCAGTCTATTATTACAGACGACCAAATATGCAAAAATTTGTTGAATTAATTACTACAGAATGTAAGCATGTCATAAGAAATTTAAGTACATATGTAGAAAAAGCATTTACATTAAGAACAAACGAACTTTACAGAGATAACTATTCTTAAACTGATTTTTCAAGATGTAATGATGTGAATTTTGTTAGTATGACTCTTATATGCCTTTCTTGTTTATCACTTAGCTTTGTAAAATGTATTCTCACTAACCAGATAGAAAAATCCTTAAATGTTACTAAAAATAGCGTTGTTGGAAAATCTTATCTCACATGGGCTTATCTCACACTCAACGTGCAGCAGTTCTAAATAATACGCGATTCACTCCTATTTTAACAAAAATTAAACGTCAAAAGGTCAAAATGTATTAAAAATGTGTAAGCTAATCTATTAAATTGTCTACGGAATCAAAATAGATTGATATTAACTTTCACACTGCAATGAGTCCTACTCTACCTAGATCCGCCCTTTCCAATAACGATCTGTTACTAAAAATAGCACACTTTAAAATATCGAAACGTTCTTCGTAAAATCGGATATTATGACACTTTGCCTGAAAAACATTCATGTTTTTTGTTATGATAACGATGCTTTTTGATGACGAATCTCATTTTGATATATTTTAATCAAATATTCGGCCAAAATAACCGAAAAAGTAGAAAAATCTTTTCAAACGGTAAACGCTTTTTCCTTATAAACACTTATATTATGGCACTTTCCGTTTTTAATATCGATGTGTTTCATCATGATAACCTTGCTTTTTCATGAGGGGTCTCAAATGAATTTATTTTCATTAAATTTTTCACACATAAACTTGGTCAGAAGATTTTTTTGCGGACGTACATAATGCTTTTTAATCATAGAAAGTCAGGCGCCTAAGCCCCGCCCCCTTTTCAAAACTAGGTACGTTGTAATGGGCGTAGCAAGTAGATTCACTGATATTTGTGTGTTCAGGTGAGTGAGAAAAATAATCAACCATTGGGTTAGATAGAGGATAGGGAAATCCCAACCCTCGGGCAATCGGTTCCATCGGGAACTCGCCAAGGCTCGTTCCCGATGGAACCGATCACCCTCGGGTTGGGATTTCCCTATCCTCTATCTAACCCAATGATTGATTCTATTAATCTCATTATGTAAAATTATAGTAAATCCATATGTCAATCAACTTGCTGGTTTCGCTTTTGTGCAAGTTTTGACTGGAAATGGAATAAGAATTCGTATTTATTTTATGTCCGATTGATATTTTACATTTATGATTTAAAATTTTTGAAATAAAATCCATATTGGTCACCAACTTTCCACTTTCGTTTTCGAGCAAGTTGTGACTAGATATGGAATCATTTTTCTTACTACTACTTACTTTACTGCACTATGCTATATATGCACATATTGAATATTAAAAATGTTTATTCTGTCTATTATGTTTATTCTGTCTATTATGTTACAAAAAATGTTGGAGCATATCAATATTATTAAAAAAACGGGTTGCATGTAGCAGTGCTTATACATATGCGAAAATATATGTGTATACATATGTGTAGATGGTATATATGCAAATTTATGAGCGTACTTATGTATATATATATATATATATATATATGTATGTAATGTATGTATGTATGCATGTTTGAATATGTAATTATTATTATTAAATGTTAAATTGCTGTAGTCATATATAGTATGTAAATGTTGGCCACATGGGTCTATGACCTTCTGGTGTTTTGAAAATAAAATCTTGAAAAATATATATATATATATATTCATCCAATTAACATTTGTTGATAGATATCACAGATTAATTGCATTAATTTTCTTTTAGTATGATTGTACATATTATAATTATGCCTTTTCTTTACTAATTTATATAATTCTAAAACAATCTTGTATTTATATCTACTGTATATTATGATCTTCTGTACTATCTGTAATATGTATAATGTAAATGCTCTTCAGTGATGGAGGAAATAAAGATAATAATAATAATTGCTTAAAGAATAAAAGGGAAAAAAAACTTCTCAAGTAGACATACAAGACACTTAAAACGGACAGTTTAGTTATTGTTACTCTTGGTTTATTTTTGTTACAGTTAGATTTTGTTGACAATTTCAGATCATCACAGTATTTATTCGGATAACAGTATTTACCTCGGGATGATATATTTACTGTTACCCACAAACCCATGTGTTATTTATACACTATTATAATTTTGAATGTACATGTATGTTTAAATTAGGAAATAGATATAAATTCTGAGTGCATTGTTGTAGAATAATGCACGGTTTGAGGTCAAATGCGTAGTAATATAATCACGAAGGCCGATTAATTACAAAGCATTTGAACGAAAAACGTGCATTATTACACAATAATGCACGAAGAATTAATATCTATTTCCATTCTAACACGTCGAGAAAAAATATGATTATTATTATAAAGTTGGACTTTATGTTTGGTGGTTAAATTTGTTTTCGCCTCAGAGTTTCCAATAGAAACGTTCTTTAAAGGTTGTTCCAGTGGGTTGAAAAAACTGTCGTTAAATCTACCGTGTGTAGAAACTTTTTGAGAATAACGAATTTTGAAAACGTTGATAAAACTTTGTTTGTTTATTATATTTCACTCTATAATTTTTCAAGCGAAATGCAAATTATTAAAAGTGAAATAAATGTAAAGCTTAACTCGTTTGCGACATTAAAATAGCGTACTTGATTTGATTGTTTTGCACGTGCTTTTTGGCGCTACATTGTGACGTCACGTAAACAACACTTTAAACGTCTGTACAGCGTTAAAGACTGAATTAAAGATATTGGTGTTCGGATTCATTTTCTTAGTTAAACCATTTTATCACACACCCGTGCCGATTTTGCGACTCCGTAAATATGGTATTGCACGGCCGTGCATATATTTTGACGTGACGTCATTAGCGTTATGCAAACATAGTGTAAAGACGCGCTAAATGTTAGCGTCTACTGTAGGCGCGTCAACGGAAAATGACTCTTATTTCACTTTAAACGGTCTTTATTTTGGGTATGTGATAAATAGAATATTAAATTCGTGTAAGTTCATTACTGAATTTATTGCACTCGTTGAATAAAATAATATCATGCTCGCCAGAGGCTCGCATAATATAATTTTATTCAACTCGTGCAATAAATTCAGTATTGAACTTACACTCATTCAATATCCTCTATTTCTTTCATTCTATATAGTTTTTAAAACAAAATTCGACAAAAATTGTTTTTTTATTTATCAGATTTTTTAAACAAAATGGCATATTTCATATTGGATTAAGTCGTGATTAACACGTTATTAATATAATAACTTACGTGAAGAGAATAGCTCAAAATATATAAAATCCGCTTCATCTTCGCTCGTGACTTCAACAATGTGAAAATACACAGGGAGATAATAAGAACGGCGAGTGCATTGTTGTAGAATAATGCACGCTTCGGGCCTTCTTTGTTTATATAGAAAAAAAATCCGATAGTGTTAGAATGATAAATTTACTTTTGGTGTTTACAATATTAGATAAGATATGATTAAGTATTTCATTACATGGGCATTGCGTTATGTACATACATATTGAGGATATAATTGTTATTTATCACATAAACCGCGGCGCAGGAGTGTAATAAAGCCAATTAATAATCAAAGCACTGCAAGCACTGAGGTATACATTGCTTGACATCAAGACCATGTGATTTTAATCTACTGAACTCAATAGAAGTCATCTTCTGGTTACAGTCAATTTCGAACACAAATCTAGGCTTATTTCTTCTCAAGTTATTAATAGGACAAGAAAGAGGTGTTGTTCCTACAGACTAGTGCTGTGTTTTTCCAGGCAGGACTATATGGTTTGCGAAACTGAAGAGCAATACAGAAATCAGTTTGCAAAGACCGGTTTATTATCTGCAGTATACAATGCTGAAATAGTAAAATAGAGTATTCAGTGTTTTTATCTATTACTTTAAAAACAAGACCAACATGCGGGTTTGTAGTCTACAAAAATGTGGTATTGAATCATTCAGCAAGACTTAAAAGTTAGGTGAACATTTTTGTTTACATGCATAACGCATTCACTGGAAAAAATGC